CTCTCACAGCCCACCTGTTCCTTTCTTTGCTTCAATGTCCTCGTCTTTCACTTTGATCCCTCGTTCTGAGTTCTCTGAGGAATAGGCTGCCAGTTTGTAGTTTTGCCTCTAACTTCTCAACCCTAAATGCTCATTTGAAAATATGTTTATTCTGTTTCAAATAAAGTTATAAGTCATCTATCCGACATACATCATCTTCCAGGCATTTTTCCAGAGCTCTAGATCTAAAGCACAAGTAAGCCATGTGGCTGCTCACAAGGTTCCTAACATTTTATGGGATGAGACAAAATGGGACAAAAGATTATATCAAAATAAGTGAAAAATTAAAGCATGGCTATTTGGAAACATGAGGTTACAGAGAAAGAGAATTAATTCTTTTTGTGAGATTAGTTAAAGTTTAAATAACAACGCAAAAAACCCTACAACACAATACAGATTTTATGAAAGAAATCATGATTCTGTTTATAAATGAAAAACAATTTGCAAAGTGAATGTGAGGGTAGAGAAGAGAGTGGAGGGAACTTCGGACAAATGAAACAACATGAGTAAAGAAGCCAAGAGGTCATGAGCATGGTGTACCGAGGCAGACCACGTGTTCAGCACAGAGTGATGTCAGGTGACATGACCATGCCTGTGATCTAGAAGTGAGCCTGTGGGGGGCCCCAGTGGCATAGGCTAAGGTAGGAGGAACATTATGCAGTGTCTGGTTCTCACAATGGAATAGACAAACTTATTTGAGTTTAGAAACATCTCTTTAGGCAATGAAGAAGATGGACTTGAGGGGCAGCCGAGAAGCAAATGATCCTTGGAATTCACCTGTGACATATTACAACTGCACAGTAACTCTGGTTGTAGAGATGGTGACATGTGAAAGGAACATGGAGGAGCTACAATTAACTAACCATATCTGATGGATAAATGAATGCACTGGGTTTCAGAATAAAGGAAAAGGACATTTACCGAGAGAGGAAACATGGTAAGGAGAACGTTTGAATTCATCTATCTTTGTTTTTGAGGTTCAGACAGGAACAAAATTAGGTCCACGTTCAACATCTTGAGTTTTAGGAACCTATGTATCTCTCAGGTGGATGGGTAATGTTAAAAATAGGGGCCTGAGAATCAGATGAGAAATTGTTGCAGGGGTCATATCATCATCCTCGAAGTGTCTAAATCGTCAGGAGTAAGTAGGGGGAGCAAACAGTATGAAAACAGAAGACAAAATTGAGAAAATGAGAAAATGGAAAAACGCAGATGAGGGAATAAGAGCGAATAAAAGAAGAAAAAAAGAGAAGAGAAGGCAAGTGACAGACCATCCAAAAACACCACATGTACTGAGCAAGTGGAGAGAAATGACTAAAATCTGTCAGAGAATTCAGAAAAGCACTGGAGTGATTAACGTCAAACCAAGCGAACTAATAGCAGCACGACTTTCAAGAAGCCACATGCCATCAGAGACGGTAATGCTGTAACTAAAATAAGGGCATAAGGCTTTTTTAAACAACTTTTTTTTCCAGCTTTACTGAGGTGTGGCTGACAAAATGCACATATCTTCGGGGCGCACAATGTGATCTGATACACATCCGTATTTGCAGCAACATGAATGAATGTGGGGACGTCACGCTAAGTGATATACATCAGCTAGAGAAAGAGAAAGACTGCAAGATCTCACTCATGTGTGAACTCGAAAAAAGTCAAACTCACAGAAATATTGAGTAGAATTGTGACTATTAAGAGCGGGGGCAGAGGGGAGTAAGGGCAATGGGGAGGTCATAAGTTTTCGTGGAGACATATATACATCTGTCCATGGAAATGTATCTCCCAGGAAACTTCACTGGATTTATCATGTTCACTGCCTACAATCACCCGTGCCCCATGTGTGACAGTGTGCTGGAGTAACCCCAAACCATTATTTTGAAGGTTAAAATTATTGGTGAGTAAATGAATTCTCACCCGGAAGAAAATGTGGTTCCTGCTCACAGGCGATGTTGTCCTTCCCTGACCCAGTGACACAGCTTCTGGTGAAATGTATGTAGGCTCAGTCAGTAATTTGTAGCACAAAAGAGTGGAAGTTGCTCCTTTTCTTCATTTGTGTTATTTCACAGGAGGGTAACAAGAAGTGTGACTCATTTTGTCATTTTCCAGGCCTTTAAAGAGAAGGGTCTGTAAAACTTCAGAAGAAACTGAAGGTAGCCTGGAAACTGAAGTCAGCATGTTCTTCTAAGAATAAACGTAGGACCTCTGAGGGGTGCCTGAAAGACTGTAAGACAAACAATCTACATCCATCTTGGTGAGGTCACTCCCCCTCTCTTATAGGAGGTCCTTATGACTTTACAATTTAATTAACTTTCATTGAGAACTCAGATCTCTGAGGGCTTTTAAAAACTATGATTTATAAATTATCCAGATTGTTCTCTTTGACAAGGCAAGAAAATAATTCTTTGTTCACATGGGCGATTCCAATCCCTTCAGTCCTTGAGGGTCCAAATAATGTTACTGATTCCATTACCTTGTACTCGTGGTGTCTTCCCTTCTTGACCATCTTCTGCCGTTTTCCTACCATCTCAATTGAGAACATGTCTCTGCTACCATCCAAAGCTACAGCTGTGAAAACCCCTCCCTTCTTCATCATAGTGCTCCGTTTCAGCCTTAACAAACTGATATTGTGGCAAACCCGAGTCAGTACCCTGTTAGGACTGACGTAACAGCACTGACCTCCGGGAAACCCTGCACCCACCCAGCCGACCAATGCAGAGGGCCCACTCCCCAAGCTTCAGTTCACAGACTTTTTTCCTTGAAAACGGGGGTATTTTAGGAAACTGCCCTACCCTTTTCAAGAAGAGAAATATTTCAAAGATTTTTCTCTAGGATCCATTTGTTCCATAACCGCAGTCATCTGTAATCTTGCCCAAAGCCTACATCATTCTTTCAATCTGATCACATTTGGTTGTCTCTCTCAGTTATTTCTCAGTTTCTGATGCATTGACGGTACCCTGGGATGGCTGGCAGCCCTGGAGAGTTTTCTAAAATGCTACTTACATCATCCCAGTGGCATTTGGGGAGATAAGAAGGAGATGAAAACAGTAGGCTCAAGTCCTCACTGACTTTCCTTCTCATGACTCACAGCTCAAAAAGCTCACAGCTCTGTTGGTGTCGTACTGACTGGGGACATGCTTCTTTTCCTTCTGATTTTCACGGGACTGAGGCTTAGTGCTTTACTAGGAAATACCACATGGACTTTTGAGTTCAGACAAACTTTAACTTGGTTAAGGCAATACTCTTCTCTTCTCTTCCTACTTAAAAAATAATGTTCACCCGGTATCAATGCTGATTTTCTTTCCCATTCTCCCCTTCAAATAACATACTTAAGCTACTTGATCAAGAGGGTACATTGTCTATGTCATTCTGTTGCAGTAAACAGGAACATGATCACCAAATTCGAATCTAAAAATACTGACATCATTCTTAGCTAGGAATGGCCTCAACAGGCAAATATAAATAAATATAATATGATGACATTAAAAGACTATCTTATTTAATAGAATCCACCCATTATTAAGCAGAGTTGAATTATTTTTGAGAGGTAAAATAAACCTTGACCCTATGCAAACTCTCAACACACAGCTAAGTCCAAAGTGAAGCTATTAACTGTCTGCTTCCTAACTCCTGGCGTAGGTGGCTTTTCCACTGGAGGGACATTTTATTTTGCGCATCAGCTCTACCACCAGAGAGTGTCCTACTAAATTAACTTTGCTATAATGTAAGTTATCTGGAGGAAATAATGGTCTGGACACAATGGCTACTTTTCAGCCCTCTAATCCACTTTGCATTTTAGACACAACTGAAATGACCATTTAGAATGTCTACAGAGTGATTTCTCCTCTGACTGACACAGCCCTTGATGAAGGAAGGTTTCTTTGTCCATTGAGTTAGGTGGGTCATTATCTAAATTTGGGAAGAAAAAATAACTTCTCTTTCTTTCTGAGCTGACTGAGCAATGAAGAAATGGAGAGATTTCTCTATTACTTTATAATAAACTAACACTACAACTGAGTATCCACAGGGTCTTTCCCCCTGAACCCTCCCCCGATCCCTTACCTAAATGGGTAAGAGGAAAGAGGAGGTGGAAAAGTGAAATGCTAAGCATTTTAAAAGATGAGCATATAGATTCTGAAGGGAGCTGACATATGGCAACTGCATCATTAGATACATGAATCTGAACGCTTACTATGACCTGCAAGCTGAAAATGACCTTCATCCTGCTTAAGTAATTGTCACCTCATTTCTTATCAAAATTATTTTTCCCCAATATGCTCCAGCCCCACACGTCTTTCTCTTCTTCAAATAAACTAAGCAAGGGACTTTGCTCCTGCTATTGTAATGCCTATAATTCCCTCACACGGAAACGTGCTTTTCTATTTCTTTCTCATCATTCAAATGCTATACCCTCAGAATGCCTTTCTGGGTGCATTTTATCAACTCCATCCTCCAGGCAATCCACTATTGTGGTCCATTATTGTTTTATTCTGTTTTAAACACTTATCACTTTCTGAAACCACCTTATCATTCATTTTTGTATGGTCAGATTTTCCTCACTGAATACAAGTGATGTGAGAACAAGAATCACTTCTCCCGTTTCACTGCTCTATTACTAGTACAAAGGAAAATGCCTGGTGGAATAGAAGACACCTGACAAGTGTAAGCTGAAGATCCATATAAAGGAGTAAAATAATAAAGACATTGGTGCGTGTAGAACACACACTTTGTCCGTCCCCTTGCTGTTTCATTTTGAGGCTTACCAAAGTTATTTTGCTTAAATTAGCAATGTCAAAAACATGTAAGAAAAAGAGGGAGCGGTCTGACGGCAGCTGGGCCACTGGATGAAAAGGCAAGTCAGTGCATGTGAAGGAGCAATGCCCAGACCTGTCCTCCAGCTTCTTTCCTCCAGGTAGAAACGTGTGTCCTAGAACCCTCCCCTCCTCACACTTCAGTTTGCAGGTGTACCTTCTACTCAGGGACTAAAGGTCTTCCTGGCTCTTCTTCTGCAGTAAGAAGTGGTCTGTCTTCTGCCGTAAACCACTGTCTCAATCTGTCTGGAACATGCAGAAGAAACAACTGCAAACCAACCGAGGATATACTTGGCAGCTGCAAAAGAAGGTGGAAATGCTGTCGCCAATGGTGGATCATGCTGCCAATTCCAACGCCTGTTGTCTACTCGGAATATCAAGATCCCCTTAAGAATAAAATAAAATAAAACTAGGAAAAGCATCAGAAGGAAAGTTCTTTGCATTTAAAAACATTACAATATATTTTAAACATTGACAGCATTATTATCAGTTTCTATTATCCATTGTCAATTTAAATAAATAAATAATTGATTTCAAATCTACCCAGATACTACTTCTTGGTGATTCATTTTCAGATCCAAACAATCTCTTTAAAGTAAGAAAGCCCATTTATGTAATAAGCCCATTTTTTACATTTGTCACAGAAAGATTAAAAAATTAGCCATAGCTGCAAAAATGAAGATATAATTATGCCCAACATAAGTAAACAGACACACAGACAGTACAAAGGAGATGCAAAGGCAAAACACAGAGGAAATACAGAGCATGTCAGGGGTGGGAGGAGACGTAAGGAGGGGAAGGCAGACAACTGGAATCTGACAAGAGGAAATAATTTGGGATGGTCCGTCAGGGCTGTAACTGCACGGCGGACCACTGCAGAGAGATGAAAACAAAAAGAAGGCAGAGTGAGGGCTGAAGACCAGCAGGAGTGTGTAAGCACCCGAACAGAGAAAGCATCAATTAACAAAAAGAAGATTTTGCTGGTTTACTGCTGTGAAGAAACACTGTGACCATTTAGCGATTCTCAATACTCTTCTAGACAAGTAACTCCCCTTTATAAAACCTAAACATTTTATTGTAAAAAACAGAGTGACCTCTTTCGAGAGTGTGCCTTCAGTGCCCGTTTCAGGTAGGTTTTTGATGCTCTGTGACTTCTGACTGCAATGCACCCTCCTTCCCAGGGCTGTAGCGCCTCACTGCCCTTTCCTGAAGGCCACAAGGGCTTGAGCTCAACTGCACACCTCCAGGGAGTTCTCAGAAGGGCTTTTAGTTTTCAGTCATGCACAAAACTTTGGCGATTAAGGAACTGTGGTTTGCTAGTGAAGACTCCTCTCTTCCTACGATGCTACACCCACCCCCTCAGACAGAACTGTTAATCTACATTTATACAGAGTCAAACTAGGGTTCACAATCACTCTGAGGTATGAAGTTTTTGAGTAGTCAAAGAAAGACTACAATTTACATTCCCAAGAACATCTCTTTATCCTATCAGAAGGTAGGTGATTTATTTAATATTTTTAGCCTTTTATTATTTTTTATTTTGAAAAGCACCCAACATTCACAAAAGTAGAGGCAACAGCACAATGAAGCCCCATGTACCCATCATCGGTGACAACCAGCACCAACTTGTGGCCCATGTGTCTCAGCCAAGACCTCACCTGCTATCTTTCCCCCCACAATACTGTGAGGCAACTCACAAAGACTGTGATTCCATTGATAAATATTTCAGTATATTTTTTCTAAAAGGTAAGCATTCTTTTATCAAACACCACCACAATCCTGTTGTCACACTGAAACTTTCACAGTGATTCCTCAGTACCATCAGATGCCCTGTCAGACCCCAGCCATCCCGCCACTGGACGATCTCATTAATGATTTTGCCACATGCTTTGTTTGCTTTGTTTCAGGGCTTTTGACAAACATTTCCTTCAAGCCAGTTTGGTTCCAGGTGATGTGCTGTACATTGTGACTTATTTTACTTATTCATTCACTGTGATGATGTCTTTAGTGCCTGATATATGTCGGGGGGGGGGGGGGCTGAGAGTCCTTGGAATATACCAGTAAATAAAACAGACAAACTCCCTGCCTTGTTGGAGCTCATAATGTAGGAGGATGAGATAGGACACAGTGAATACAAATAATAAAGGTAAATGTGCCCATTTGCTATAAGCTGACAAGGGCTTTGGGAAGGAAAGATGAAAATACTATATAGCTGGTGAAGGATTATTTGGAAATCCTGGGCAGGGCTGCAATTTTAAAAAGGTAATCAGAGGAGGCCTGATTGAGAAGGTGTTACTTGAGTGAAGACCTAAAGTAGGAAAGAGAATTAACTCTGCAAATCTCTGGAGGAAAAGTCTCTACATCAGAAACCACTTCAAAATCTTGAAGACAGGATAAGGTTGGCACATTCTAGATGCAACAAGAAGGCTAAAACCTATATTATTTAATCAAAATAAGTGAAAACCCGAGTACAGGGAAACAGTCACAGAAAAGCATAAACAGAAAAAATATGCCCCACTCTGCTCAGGAACCATGATGAGCTATATTTAGGAAAACGGAAAAAACAAAATATTACATTTTATAGAGAGGTTGAATTATGAACGTTTTGAGAGGAACATATAACGTTTAACCTGTTCAATCTATCAAATCTCTAAAAATGTCTAGAGTTATTTAAAAAAGAAGAGTGGTCATGGCTTTATATACTTTTACAATTTATGTCACTGTATTTACCGCTTCCTATGTGGCATTTTCCTGAACAATCTCATCCACTTGAATGGTTTCACCTACTTTTTATGGACAACGACTACCAAATACCTGTGTCACAAGCCCAGATCGGGCTCTGGTGTGGTAGCTCATAGGCACACCACGTGTTGGGTACCTCCATTTGGACATCCAAAGACAATTCAAACTTTATATGGTCCAAACTAAGCTAACCTCATTCTCCCAAAACTTCTCTTTTTCATGTAGCTGAATGTCACCATGACCTTCCGCAATGTCAAAAACAGAGATCTGGCCCTCATCTGGCTTCCTTCTCTTTTGGCCTCTCCTCACATCCAAGTGGTCCCCAAACTCTGTGACTCCAAGTCCACACTCTGCAGGGATTCTTTAACCATCACTTCCACTGGCAGGACCCTGGCTTCTCTCTCACCTGGACCATGAAAACAGCTCAAGAGCCCTCCCGAGATGCAGGTGTGACCACTGCAGTTCCTTCACCTTCTTCAGAATGCTCACATGCCCTACAAGGAGAGACCTCAGAACCTCAGCCTCATCTGGACGGGAAGAGAGAGGCAGGAAGGATCCTACTGGTTATAGGTAATCGTGCCTGTCCTGCTCCCTGAGCTGCAGGTGGTTCAGGCCCGGGACAGCCACACAGTCTGACCAGCGAGACCCACGTGGAAGCATGGTTAGGGCTTCTAATGACGTTTCCTCCAACCAGGAAGACACACGATAAGAAACATTCTGATTTTGTCATCCCCTATTGAAATACCAAAAGGCTGGCATCCTCATACACTGCTAGCAGAAGTAGAAATTGCTTCAATTTTGCCAAAAGAAAACTAAGCAATACAACTAAAAGAATACGAATAAGAATTTTCATCATAAATACAATAATACTTAGGGCTAAATTTTACCTTTCACTGTCTATCAGGCACTATGCACTGTGTCTTGTATCTATTGTTCCATTGAGTCCTTAACATTATGAATGAGATAGGATTCTCTTGAGAAATAAGGCAAGTGTGTCTTAAGGTAGTTAAATGCTTTTCTCAATTCCATATCAGCAGTATGCTAGAAGAGATTTTGGAATTCATAATAAAATAATTATTATTCTCTGAAAGACTGAATAAAACTGTCACATGTGAACAGTAGGACTAATTATGTATGTCATGTATAATTGTATTTAAATATATAATTACTGTATGTAAATTATACAAATATAAAATACATCAAACATATAAATGTAATACATATACATTGGTATACAATAATATTTTAAATATATTACACAAGGTAATATAAAATTATAAATATATATTTGTACCTATGAGATTTTACGTATACTATGTAAATAGTGGTAATACATGGATGGCAGGTATCAGTATGGTGATGGTGTTAATGAGACTGATATTAAATATAAAGTTTATTAATGTGTATTATATATACACATCATGCATTATAATGTATTGATATTGAACATTAATCTTATAAATTATAATTTATATATAATTTAATTTATATATAGTTAGTAATTATGTGTATATGTAATTATATACTATATATGTGTAGGTACGTATATTATTATACACTATATTACTATATTGGATATTTACATATAAATTAATATATATGCATAATGATGTTTATATGTGTGCATATAATATGTCATATATTCTGCCCAAATATACTGGCACCAGGGACTCGGGCATGTATGCAATGACACGTGCTCCACACTTACAAAGAACAGGCATCTGGACAGTTGGCGGCGGCGGGGTGGCCCCCTCCCTCCTCCCCTCCTCCCCGTGAAGTCGATCAAAGGTCGAGGAGGGACTCCCCTCTTCCCACCCACCCCACCTCCCTCCCCAAGGGATGCACCCGTCTCTCCATGCAGGGGGCTCAGAACGCACCTGCACGGCAGGCCAGGTCTCGTCAGCACACGGGGACACCGCGGGCCAGGCCTCACGCACACGGGGACACCTCAGGCCCGAC